ACGTCGAGCAGGTAGTATCCGGAATGGGGATGGTGGGGAAAGGCGGTGGGGAGGAAGGGAGAGAAACGCGGGATGAAATCGAGACGGAGCGAGAGAGAGAGAGAGAGAGAGAGACCGCGGAGAAAAGTGGAGTATCCCCCGCACCTGCATAATATATCGGGGAGGGCTTGACTCCGGCAGCACAAACTACTTGGTAACTACTTAGACGGGAACGCAGTCCTGACGAAACTCTCGGCAGACTACTTAGAAACTTATTTCGCGGCACGTCTTTAAAATGATATACCTACGTACTCGTAGCTGCAGTACGAAACGGCGCAGCCTACGAAAGGGCCATTGAGGACACGAGGCTGGCCACCATGCCCAGTGCCCTTCTCCTCGTCCGCCCTAACCTTACCACTCTTTCCTTGAGAATAAATTAGTTTTTTATGGTACGGGGATCCGGGAGGACGTAGCAGCGAGCGAAATAATACCCCCTTACTGTCCTTTTTTTACTATCACGGCTGTTTCGCAAACTTATAATCTTTTATAATTACTCTCTGAAATTATATGGCGTCCGAATAAAAATATAAATATCCGTGAAAGTTTTCGTCAAAGTGCAAAGGAAACTCGCAACATGATGACAAGCGCAAAACTTTGGCTTTTTCAAACAGCGAGACAAGTTCTAAAATAGAAATTTTTGAATGATATTCTAAAATTAATTTTAATCTTTTTTAAAAAGAACAATATAAAATGTCACATTTAATTTGTAAAATAATATAACTGTTAGGTTATATATATTTAAATATTAACAATTAAATATAAACAATTAAAAATAAAATTAACAATACAGTTTTGCAAATATAACATTCAAACATATACAAATAAGAAAAGTAAATAAAATACGTAATAAATGTACTTGAATTTGTTAACAATATATACGTTAGCAAAATTATAAACTATTGTTTTACGCGACCACTAGTAATGAACAATTTGTACAATTGTTTTGCACAAAAAATATAAAAAATGTATGCCAATTTTTGAATACATATATAACCTGCTGAGAAGTGAGCAATCCGTGCCGTGAATCAGTAGTACATCTCGGTAATATTCGCGACATGACACGGGGAACCGTCTAAGCCTCTAAGGTGACGAGAACACTTTCACGAATATTCCGAGTTCCTATGTATAGGCGGCGCCGGTAGGGTGCCGGGCCGTAACGAAAATCGATCCACAGCAGCCCCGACATCCGCGGCATTGCGATGTGCAATATCGCGGTTCGGATTCCACACAGCGCGACATTCCACCGGCGTACGACCGCGTGCCGCCGTTATCGCGTATCTTTCGCGAGCGTGGAGTTTAACGAGGTTCCGCGCGCTAATCGGCGAATGAATATGGATGGAGCATGCATTAATTCGTCATTTTTCAACTCCCCCCCCCGCCATCACTCGGCGAATGCGCTCTCCGCTATCTGCGTGCATGACGCCTACCCGTCAACAATCTCCCGGCTGAAGGAGAATCCGTGCGAGAATTCGTTCGCGTCGTCGCCCCTTTAGTCGCTATCAACGATTTCGTATTCATCGCTCGTATCTACCGATCGACGTCGAAGGGAATCTCTCCCCTCCTCCCATCATTCCTTTCTTGTCATCCAAATCGGGCCTTCGTCGCCGATGGCCGTAATGATTCGACTCTAACTTTGATGCAACCGCGTAATCCGCAGAGTCAGGGGTATCGTACACGGAATAAATTTTCAACGGAGGATCTTGGGCTTGAGATGATTACCGCCGGATACAGAATGTAAATGCTACTCGTGCCGCATGAGAGCCGAGGATCCCTTGGGTTACTACTTTATATCCACTTAAATATGCGTAGTCAGAGAGCGGCCGAGCTAAATTAGATTGCGGAGAGTAGATCCCTTTTTATATGTAATGTATTACGAATCTTTTGAATCGATAAAGAAAAAAAACTTTCTGTTTAATAAAGACGCGCTATACACAGTGTATATAGTATACATATGTAAATATATAATATAATTATGTACGGATTTTCGCCAAAGTTAATATAGTTGATAATATTGTAACATAGGACGGAAGAGTCACGAAAGCTACGGCGAGTTTTTAAAGAAGTGCACAAACTTTCATTTTGCTGCGGCTAAAAGAGAATACCGTGACGCGTTTCTGCCCTCTTAGCGAAGGCCAACGGAGAATGCGACTTGTAATTTAACCCGGAGTCTAAATAATGTAAAGTTTTAATGACCCCGCGATTCTCACCGATGAACCTCTTTCCTTACTTGTGTGCGACCCGCCATTATCTAGCCGTTCCTTGGTAATTCGCACAAACGCAGATTTTCCCTCCGTTTCCCTAAAGGATACCCTGTGCTAATTTGGTCAATCTAATATAATTTTCATAAAGCCAATAATGATAATCTTAATAATAATTAGACCGTTTAATACGTTTGCCTGATAAATGATAATGCAATACAATTTTCGCAGATTCTCAACTGACCGACCGAAAATAGTTGAAAACATTTCACGGGTTAAATTGTGATAAATCACCACATTTCTATCGTTATAGCAATGCATATCTCCCCTTTCAATTTCCCGTGTCCCTATCGTCAATATTGGAAATAATCCATGATACATTATTTTGCTTTCAATCTGCCTGTCTTCTGATACATAATATTTCCGCATATCTTACTGATGGAAAAACTCCACTTTCCAACGTCTTCGGAATATTATTCGGAATATAATCTTATAAAGTATATATATATTCGCATGACCCGCAAAAAAAATTGTCTTCACGATTTCTACTATCTTGCCAGTTTAAGCTACCTTGTCATCTAAGTACACTATCGAACGCGTATATTGGCGTGTCTCGCCAATGTACGATAAGAGCCTTTAAATATTTAGGTAGCTCGCCGAAAAAAAAAAAATAGTAGTCACTTATACAGCGAAGCCACTCTAGGAGCGAGCAAGTAAGGATAAAAGAAGGCAAGGGTCACGGATCAACCAGCCACATGCATAATACATATCTCTCTCCGCATCCATTGGTTCCGCACAGCCTATACTATATATAGAAAATGCTGTCGTCGAGACCCGAGCCTTCGCCAAGCAGTAGCCGTCATCGGTAACGGCCGTAACGTTCCCCTTCTCGTCGGGAAAACGTCGAATCAAAGGACGTACTGAACTTCAGAACGGGATGCTATATCGTTTACTTCCACGGCACGTTTTAGCAGTTGCTACCGAAGTGACCGAAGCAAGCACGCAATAATCTCTCGCCCTCCCTAACTTCGACGTCGGATAAAAGACAGACAGGATATGTCTAATGTACGCGATGCTTTTAGACTTATTGGCATTTTCATCACCACATCGGATTCTTTGACAAGCTTAAAATCAAATTTTCCGCAGAGACGAATCAACTGAGCTAATCTTAAACAAAATTAAATTAATGGAAATTCAACTTAACTTTTAAATTTAATTAAATTGAATGTAACAAAAATTTAAAATTCGATTCGATATAAAAGATTGAAAGGTCGGTGCAAATAATGATTATAGATATTGAGCTTCCGCTGCCGGAAAAAGAATCGATAGAGAACCCGGTAAAGTTTACCTCGAGGAGGGAACAGCGGGACAATTTACCCTTTATAAAATAAGCACATTAATACGCCGCGTGAGACAGGAGTATGCCATCCCGGGCAGGCGACTTTACCGACGCCGGATGTATTTTAATATTCCATGCGATATTCCGTTTGCGCGACCGATTGCGAGAGTTAGCAGTTAGAATCGATCGATTAAGCTCGCACACAGGCTTTTCGAGCTAGCACACCTGCCGCGGAGATACAAGCGTACATATAGCGAAGGTCTTGCAAATTTGATGGATTACCCGTGGTAGCGGCGGCGCCGCAGTCCTGCCGGGGGCCGATGTTCGCGTGCGCCCTTATAAATTATCGAAAAGGTGGGCTATCGTGCCGGCTAATCGAATCGTCGTTGCCACGGTTTGCACAACGGAACGGTGCGTGACACGCTTATCATCATAAACGCGGGGAAACGACGCGATAGCGGTGATAATATAACCGAGGGTCGGAAACGCGAGCGCGATTTATGTCGGCCATGGACAAGCTCGTTACGATTGCGCGCGCGGAAATTCTATTAAAATTAATAACGAGTAATCCACGGGATCTCCTGTCGCGCAGATTATATCCGCGCCTCTCTCTTGCTGCCTGCCGACGGGCTTGTTTGCCCGGCCCACAAGCACGAAAATCGCACGCCGGAATTTGCATGAAACGTAACGATTTTCGAAAATGCGAGAACGAGCTCCGCGGTTCGCGGACAGATTATCCGCGCGCCGCCGCCGTCGCCGCCGACGCGCGCGCGTTACAGCGAGCGAGGGCAACGCGTGGATTCGTTTATTGCTGCACGGAATATAACATGGCGCCGAGGTGGGGAAATAATAATGAATTCGCCAGCACACACGCGAGTGCGCGACGATTATCGCGTTTTACAATGGAAATCGTTCCCGGAAACGTTCGCGTAATCGCAAACATCGCACTGGATTTAATAAAGTATCGATGCCGAAAAGGGAAGGGGAGGGGCGGTGATCAAGAATTTGCACGTAAAACGAGGATACATTTGGCCCGGATGTATTGCACGTTGCTGCATTTACGAACGACTCGATTATAGCTATAAGGCTGAAGGGTTTTTCAAAACGCGCGCGATTACAGATTACAGAGCACTTATATCTCGTTCTCAAAAGTTTGTATATACAATCGCTTTATCTATCAGTTTATCGCGCATTTTCATTATCCTCTCCGTTATCCTCATAAATACGCCGCGATAAATATCCAATCCCGGAAAAATATGTGCCTTTCCCGGCGCATTTATAACTTCTATTTATACGTATCCTGCAGAATAAAATAATTAATGAATGAACGAATAATGTTTCACATTTTACAACTCAAGCTCTTGTTAGCACGTCTGTCTAACTTTAAGCTTTATACTATATATACATTTTTTTTTTATTCTCTCTCACTCGTCCTGACTACAAGACGTAATCTGGTTTCGGTAAGCTCCTCTTACCTCAAGCACGCAGTGTACGGAGCCGCTGAAAATTCGATAGAACAAACTCGCTGTACAACTCTTCGGTAGTGAAGGATGGATCTTGGACAAGTTATCGTACCCGTGGTAGGCATGGCAGCCATCAAAGTTTCGTAACGCGAAATCGCCGTGGGAACGTCGAAACGACCCAAGCAGGAAGCGTGAAATTCGCACGACAGATTTTCTCTCGAGACTCGCTGCTGTCGGAGTACATACTCGGAGATCAGAAGCTGGTTAGGAGATCGGTATAGACTATAGAGGACCGCGTCTTTTCCGAGGGATAGATATATTCAGGCGAAAAGAACTAGTAAGAAATTTTTCAACGCAAAACGACGAACTGTTGCGATATTGAAATCTCACTGCCTGAGAGCTAAACGGTGGTTTCGTCCCGCTGCCCGTATTATATTCCGGATGAATCGCTGGGGAATTTTGATATACCACATCCGAGTATTATTACGAGAATTAGCAAATACTAGCGGAATATTCCGCTAGAAACCGAGTATTATTTCATTAATGTTCGCTACTATTTCAAACTAGTCTCCGTTTAAGAGTAATGACGGCTAATGTTTTCCGCGAACGCTTCGTCCCGTCCGCGACTCGTTCAATTTTGTAAATAGGATTTTAAGAAAACATTGCTTCTCAAATAAAACTCACCGACACTGCGAAGAGGCGGTCGCAGCAACGACTCGAATCGATGTCGACGTTCCCTCTGCGGAAAATACAAAAATACGTCAAACGTCAGAGAGACTATTAAATATACAATACATACACGGAAAGAATAATTTTGCTGAATTTGCAGATTTAAAAATAATTTTTGTTTAATAATCAAAACAATTCTGTGCGAAAGTCAAAATAATTGCTAGAATATCAAAACGTTAAATAACAATACTTATCAGTTTTAACATTCCAACAAATTATTTTGATGATTCAACAAAAAATTATTTTCAGATCTGTTTTCGGCAAATTTTTTAGACCTTTCAACAAAATTGTTCTTTCCGTGTATATAAAAAAAATGAATCACGGTAACCATCTACGTTCAATATATGTTAAATAACTTAAAAATAATTTTAAATATTTTACTTTAACCCCGTTACAAATTAATAAAAAAGTTACAATTTCATAAATATTATATAATTACGCTTTTTATTACCGGAAATATATTTCCATTATAATTAATTGAACATTAATTGAACATTAATGAGCGTGCAAAATTTCAAATTGTAATACGCCAAAAAATTATACGTAAAAATTATACGGAAGAGAAATAAATTCTACAACACAGTATTTACACTTGACACTATACTTCAGAGATAGCAATTATTTATTATTATTCAATTTGCACGGATGTGCGCCGGGTAAAGCGTTTGTAAACGCGCGATCGTCATGACGCCACGCGTACCAATTAATTTCGCGAATATAATAAATAAATTTACTCACCGGCCGATGAATCGATGATGTTTCTGCTTGTTGCATCGTCGCCGCAGTCATACACACACACACTCACACGCAACACGATTGAAAATACACTCTAAAAATAGACTACGATCATGGAATGCTACTTAAACGAATTAATTCACTTAACTTGACATTTGACCGACTAATGAAAACGCTCAATTACCATCGCACTATTATTACGCGCGCACATCGACCGTTTTGCCATTTTGAGTTTGTAAACAGCGCGAACTGTGTCGAACACCTATCACTTTGCCCGACGCTTTCACACGGCGACGAAAAATTTCAAGCGCTTCGGGCGATTTTGGTGTAAATTTCGCCACCGCGGCGAACGCGAGTGTCGCGAGGCGCGATCAATTTAATTTACACTTCAATTAACGCGCCCGTAACCACCAGTTCGGCGTCTCAGACGAGAAAACGCGAGAAACGCGAGGCGATCTCACTTCGCGGCGTCAAGGACATACGCGTGTTGTTGCGGGGCGACCTTCACACGGCATCAAAGAGACGAGGCGTACCGCGGGGCGATTATGGCACGGCGGGGCGACGCGACGCCCCGCGTTGCGTTCCATGTATACGTATTAATTATCGCGTTACGGCGCCCGTATTCACGTTCCGGAGCACGGATTCCGGGCAGCCCCGGTTAATGTCTTCCGCAGGGAATTCGCCGTCGGTCGACGGGAAGACGCGAGCGAGACGGTCTCGCTTCACACGGCACCAAAGACGCGTATACCGCGGGGCGATTATACCTGCTGCACGGCAAAACGACGAGACGCCCCGCGCGCGCTGCGTTTAATAATACGTGTATTAATTATCGCGCCCGTATCCAAGTTCCCGGAGCACGGATTCCGGTGTGTCCCCGGTGATACCTTCCACGGGGGAAATTATCGTCGTCGGCCGACGGGGAAGACGCGAGAAACGCGAGGCGGTCTCACTTCACGACGTTAAGGAGACGCGTATCGCAGGGCGATCTCATTTCACACGGCACCAAAGACGCGCTACTTATACCGCGCGGGGGGGGGGGCGATTATGGACGAGCGACCGAGGTGACGCGACGCCCCGCATATCAATTATCGCGTTACGGCTGCCCGTGTCCAAGTTCCGGAGCACGGATTCGGCATCCGCGGTGATGCCGTCGACCGACGAGAAGGGACCGCGAGGAACGCGGAGCACTTCATGGCCGCGGCGGTAAAGAGATTCACGCGACACGCACGTACTTCACTTTTCGACGCGTACCGCGAGACGATCATCATGGCGGCGATCGACGCGACTTACGCCCCCCCCCCTCCCAACCCCTCGCCCCGCGTTGCGTTCTACCGGACGCCGGACGCGATGTCCTTGTGACAACGGCTAGGGCAATCCCACCTCACTGTCGTCGCTCATACGTCCGGACGAGCAACGGAGCCCGCAAAACCGGAGCTCTCGTTCGACGCCTCCGACGGCGTCGGATTACTCCACATCATCGATCCATTCAACGCTTCGATCGATACTCGCGATCAATACCTCGGCACGTCCCGGCGACGATCGGAGCAGAGAGTTATGGCCCGCGCGATTAAGGCACTCGCACGTCCCGCGGGCGACGTTCGCGTCAGAACATCGTCGATCCCGAACCTCGCTGAGAAACTCGCGTGTAATATATGTACGTATAACGATAATATACCGGACGAGGCGGACGACGCGGACGCGTGCGACCATTAATACGCACCGAACGAAGTACAATCATTATGTCGCGGCGTCTGATTGGCGGAGTGACGTCACGCCAGTGCAGTGGTCCCGTGCGCTACTGACTTTTTGACTTTTCGACGCGTCCGTGCGTTAGGTTGGTAGGCATATTCGCCGCAGTTCACGATACACGTTCAGTCTTACCGACCACTCGTTTCCGGGCGACGACTATAACAATAAGTGAGGGGAACAATCGCGTAATTGTAACGCGGTTTATCAGTCGCGGGATAATATATATGTGGACGGCAATTAACCGTCGTAAAGTTTTTGATTGACGCCCCGCTGGCGTTGTCTGAGATAGTGACGCTGTATATCGCGAAGTATAATTTTACGCTACCATGTCTACTGATTACATGTACATTCAGACGAATCGTTTCGTACGAAAGGTATTTACATTGGAGATGGCGCAAAAACAGATATTTCTAAAGCTCGACCGTTTTACGTAACGCGTGTAACACACGTAATTTGAATCCGTGCGAAAAATATCGAACCGGTAAACCGAGACGCGATCAGTGCCGAGTTGCCAATGGAAGTGATTGTCGGATCCGATAACAATTAGTGCCCGCGATCGTGATCAGCTGGTGTGTTTTCTGGACCGATTCGCGTATGTGTGGATGACCTGGTGCACGGGAGAGCAGCGATGGCGTATCGAGCGCTGCGGTGAGTAAAGTCATTTATGCTTCATTTGTTTATGGTTTTGATTTTAACTGCTCATTCATTTACAATAATTTGGTACCGTTAATAGTAATGATAACGCTTTGATGAACTATTAATGTTAACCGTATGTACGCGTATCTTCGCGAATTAAATAATGTAACAAAACTTTTATTTATTTCCATCTGGTGGACAGTGCATGGTGGATATACTATGTGTTCTTTTATTTTTTGAAAAAATTAAATTACTAAATTATATTTTCTATTATATTAAATAGCCTTATTTTTTGAAAAAATTAAATTATTAAATTATATTTTCTATTATATTAAATTAATTATCAAATTAAATTGTATTTTCTTTCTTAAATAAATTTATATGTATGATAGTCTCTCGATAATCGTGCGTATATATGTATATAGCAATCCATCTATATATAAAAATATGAATATTATTTAAATATTATTTATATATTTTAAATATTATTTAATTGGGTAAATCATCTAAATATGCATTGCGCATTAATTTACATCGTATCATTTTTATTATTGATAATCGGTCTGCTACATTATTTTATTAAATTAATTAAACTGGAATAAAATTTTAACAATACAGACATAAAAACTATAATATATAAAATATATAAAATGCTGAACTTACAGTACAGATTTTGAAATTTTGATTTCCTAGCTGCACACATCTCTTCAAATTTTTATCTTGGAAGCTCACAATAAATAAATATATCAAATCGTTGCAAAGACAATATATGACTATTCAATATACATTATCTTACAAAAAGATTTCTTTGTATGTGTATATGTTTGTATACCTTATTTTTTTATCCAACACAATATGTAATATATGTAAAATAATTTTTAATGTATTTATGAAGAGAATTAAATGACAGTTATATTACAATTGCTTTTAAAGCGCCGAATCCTGTTTTACGGAATAAAATATATGGAGTATTGTGAGATTTATGAGAACGAAACACACATACAAATTTGCAGAGATGTATGAAGTCTCGAAAAATCGATTTACGTGATTTCGTAAAGCCCAATAGTATCGGGAGAGCACGTCACTGTCATACAAAAGCAATACCGCAAAATTCCGGCGCGCGGTACGGAAATTACTGCGCCGGTGAAGTACGGTTAATGTTGCTGAAGCCTGTCTTGTACATATATGTATATTGAAAAACGCTGACCTTGCAGTTTTTGCGAAAACAATGAAGGAACGTCAGTTCCGTTAATAATTCGATGTAATAATTTAATCACAACTTCAAAATCATCTTGCGCGCGATCGCGTTTCTTGCTGTGTCCGCTACACTCTCTCGGAAATCGATAATTCGTTCCGAGAATATGATTCTCGTCGAGAGCGGGAGTGCGAGCCGGCTGGAACTTATATCGATCGATTTACACCCCGATGGAACGCTTTTGCAATCTCATCCGCTGCCATGGCTACCTAACGCGGCAACTTTCCTCTTCCTTTCTCGTTTCTCGCTCCTTCCGCCATTCTTAACCGCAAACAGCACCGTTGCACGTGCACTCACAAAGACTCATTTTTCTCGATCCGACCGCGGCTTGTTCGAAAGTCTAAGATCGATGGGCGAATACACTCCGTTTCACCGTGTCCGCGAGTTTTCACGTAAAACTTTTATCTGCTAACCCAGTGATCGAGCCTTTAAGGGCTTTCGCGTAGCGATAAACTTTTCACAGTCGAATCTTTGAACTAGTCAACAAATTACGCGATCACGCGTGTACAAAACGCGCCGATATTGCTTGCATACACGTCGCACAACAATTCCGTCTATTGTAACAGTTGTAACTATATAATATACTGTAAGCACATCCTTGTTAAATTAATCTAATGTATTTCGCATGTGATGAAGAGATTTATTTTATTTCTCGCTTTTTTATAACAAGATATATCTTCTCTATTTCCTTCCCCCCGCGTGAATGCACACATACACACACGCACACACACACACACTTTTGTCATACGAAAGAAATTTAGATCAAAAGGCGTAGCCTGCAATTGTGAATTCGCAGTGGAAAGGGTAGCGCTGGGGATGGGTTGGATGTAATTGACCTCGGCAGGAACAAAGCTCGCTCATTAATCAACGGTGACGTAGAGCTGACGTCACGTCCCATGGGCTGGTGCAATGCAGGCGAGCTTGCTGGTCCATTTATTTACCATTAACGGCTCATTAGCGTACCGGCATTTTCCTGTCCGACTCCTCTGCAATTGCAGCCGACTCTTTTCTCGTGTTTCCAATCCTGATATATGCGTATACACTGTGATTTTTCTGTCATTCTTCCGAATTTAATCTCTATTATCCTGCAGGCATATTTCTACGAAAATCGAAAATATTTAAATCGTACGTGTCACAAAATCAGATTTATTAAATTACGTACTTGAATTCTCTTTATACTTAAAATATTTTTTGTTTCGTACATAACGTCAGTATCTTATTAAGTAACGAGAAGAAATTATCACTGATTTGCATCAAGATCCCATTAATAATTTTTAATGCTTGATTAAACTAACTTATACGCAAAACCCCCGTGTGTCAAAATAACAAAAACCTTCCGAATTATTACGCTCTGCTCGTAGCGCACGGTGAAATTAGATTAAAGAACTTTGTAATATCTCGTGCTGAAATTATTCAGCTCATTTAGTAATTAACGCGAAACAAAGGAAAATCGGGTTACTTTCCGTAGCATGAGCAAGTGCTAAGACGGTCAACGACGACAGTGAGATCCGTGAGACGGCGAAATTAAAAGCTGCCACAAAATATATACCGTCCTTTCCTCTCTTCGCCGTGACATGCGCTTTGAATCTGGCGTGTAAAGGCAGTTGCTGCAGGCTCCTAGAGACGGTGTTTGGATGGGTCTCAGGTAGCTCTGACGGACCCGGAAGTTTAATTACGCGAAGACGTGACAGCCTCCTGGCGAGAAACCAGGGAGAGATACAACCGTCTGACGTGCTTCGGTTCA